AAAAAAGGCAACCGTGCTTTCACTCCAGGTAAAGGATTAATTGTGCAGGACACCTGGCACCTGGGAGTCCCACTGAGGCTGCAGGACCAGCACTGGAGGCACCACACAGGTCTGCATCCCTGGATTAGGGCAAGAAGGTCCACAAAGGTGACACCAAAGCCACCCTGCAAACTGCTGGATAAGTCAGCAGCAGCAGGGACAGTGCACAGATATATTTTTTGGGTGTATTTCTTTTTTGGCAGCTGCCACTAGTGCGGTGCCACCACCCCACTGTCTCCATTGTCACCTGACCCCACGCACTCCCTCTGTTGCCACACTGTCCTCCCACAGAACCACAAGGGCATTTTCACATCAGTTTTGGTGTGAACACACTGCAGTGTCCCCCATCTTAAAACAGCCCCTCTCAATCAGGTCACCCACAGCAGGGATGGCTGCTCTGAGCACGCACAGAGCATCATTACACTGTGTCTAGGGGAAAATTCAGGAGAAAAAAATGCACCGGTGACTTCCACCCCCTCTCCCACAGAGGGACACGGATGAATCCACCCTCCTGGCTGCCCAAAACCGCAGCACACGTGACCCAGAGAGGCTTTTCAGAAGAGCTGAGTCTCCAGCGGCTTCTGTTTGCCTTTCCCTTGTCTGCAGCAGCATCACATCTGGATGCTCGTCAGAAGAGAAGGAGAAAAAAAAAAACCCCTCCCTCCTCCTGCTGAACAACCTCTCAATCAAAACAAAGCCGGAGCGGCAGCCAAGAGCTGGGAGGCTCTTTTGTTTAATGCTCAACATCCCCCGGCTGGGCCAGCACGCCCCAGAGTGCCGGGAGCGGCGCAGGGGCCCGCTGTGGGCAGAGTGGTGGGTGCAGGGCTGCTGAGGAAGGGGCCAGCTCAGCCACCAGCCCCAAGGCCAGCTCGGCCACGCCACGGCGGCTGTGGGGCAAAATCAGCGCTGCTCCTCCGTGCACGGCCATTTTGCTGAGCTCGGCTGCTCACTGAGAGCTGCCATTCCCTCCCAGCACCAGTGTCCCCACAAAGAAAAGCAAAGCAAAGCAAACTAAACCTTAACTCAGCTCCAGACATCCCCAGTGACCCAGGGACTGACCAAGCCACTGGTTGCCATGCTCGTGAGTGCACCAGCACAAGCTCTTTTCTCTCCCTGCTGCAAGTATTTTAAGTTCCCACTGTTGCCCTCCAGATATTTTTTGGGGCTCCAAGGACCTGCCCAGGCACTGACCACAGCCAAAGGCAAATGTTCTCAAGGGGATCAGCCCATCCCAGAGACCCTGGAAAGTCTCAGCAGGGTTATCAGCAGTGGGTTTCATCAAGACCAGCCCTATCCCTCGAGAAGTTATAGCCTGTGCCCCAACACACTGATGGTAGGTTTGAGGAGAGCATGTAACAAGCCAGGACACAGCCAAGATCCACACCAAGAAAAAGGATATTTGGGATATTCAGCTCAGAAGGCTTCACCCCAAGAAGCAGCAACCAGAGCCATGGGGTCACACTGGCAAAACACATCCAATGGAGCCCAAGGGCCATGTCCACAGACTCCATCACTGCTGTGTCAGACATGGGAGCAAGGGTGAACTCGCCTATGGACAGAGCCATGGAGCACCAACCGACGAGGAAAAGTGTCTGGCAAAACCCAAAGCTCCTTCCTACACCCAACAAAGACTCGATGGCTGCCAAACCCTACAGCAAGATATCGGAAGAACACAAAAGCAGAAGCAGAGGCAAGTGGGGTGAGCTGGTTGGGGCAAGAGCTGGCTGCAGCATTGAAGCACCTCATCAAGGAAAAGTACTCCCTGCCAAAGCACTCATTATTCCAGCCATGGAGATACAGCAGAGCCGCCTGGCTGGCAGCTACTGGCTCAGCACACATCTCTTCTGTCTGACCTCCAGGGAGGTCACCCACCCCAGGCCTCAGCAGTGGAGGGACAGACAGTCTCCCTTTCTTCATCTGCAGATGGAGACCAGCTTCCCTGCCCAAAACGGAAGTGGGAGCAGTACAGGGTTAAACAAAGGACAAGCTGACGAGACCAAAGGTTGGGCTGAGTCACGCTGTGGCTGTTCCTGTTTCAGTCTGAGCAAGTTTCTCGCCTGCCAAGCAGGGTTTGTCCCCAGGCCAGAATGAACCTGCCACCTTAATCCTCTCGATGCACTGCCTGGAGGAGCTGCCCTCCCTCCCACAGCCAGCACACACCTCTGCTCTTGGCTTGTCCTTTGGACTCCACATGCAGTTTTTGGGACATTGCTGCAGCTTTCAGGAGACAGGAGGAGCGCCCAAGGCCACATCTCCCATTGCATCCCATTGGTCCTCCACCCTGCCCCAGGCATCCACCCAGCCTCAGTCTCTTCCTCAAGACACAAAACTGCTTTCCCACCCTTACCATGCAGACACCTTTCTTCTCCTCGCCCACGGCTTTCCCGACCCAAGGGAAGCAATCCAGCTGCCCCCAGGAGGCTGATGAAACACAGACAATGCTCCCTCCTAAGTGACACATGTTCCTGCAGATCCAGACATCAAATCCCTTCTCAAAACAGGGATCAGCCCTTCAGCCTGAGCTTTTAGCAAGGGGGTTATGATTGAATCTGGACAAGTAAAATGGCAGAACCATCCTCACCGGGTGTCAGCATGGAGAGGATAGAATCATTTGGGTTAGAAGTGACCTTAATGCCCATCTTTTTCCACCTCCTGCCATGGGCAGGGACACCTCCCACTAGACCAGACTGCTCCAAGCCCTGTCCAACCTGGCCTGGAACACTTCCAGGGATGGGGCAGCCACAGCTTCTCAAGAGAAACCTGTGCCAGGGCCTCACCACCCTCACAGGAAAGTGTTTCTTCCCAATATCCCATCTAGCCCTGTCATCTGCAAGTGGGAAGCCACTGGCCCATGACCTGGCACTCCTTGACCAAAGTCCCTCTGCAGCTCTCAGAGACCCTTCAGGCACTGGCAGGGGCTCTCAGGTCTCCCTGGAACCTTGTCTTCTCCAGGTGAACAGCCTCAGCTCTCCCAGCCTGGCTCCAGAGCAGAGGGGCTCCAGCCCTTGGAGCATCTCCATGGCCTCCTGTGGACTCACTCCAGCAGTTCCACGTCCTTCTCATGTTGGGATCCCATGGTTGGAGGCAGGTCTGCAGGTACAGTCTCACCTGAGCAGGGCAGAGGGGCAAAATCCCCCCCACCTCCCCTGCTGCCCACACAGGGAGACAAGCCCAGGACACAGAGGGCTTTCCAGGTGCCAGCACACGTGACCAGGGTTGTGTGGAGCTTCTTGTCCACCAACACCACACATCACATTGGTATCTCCAACTGCAAAGAGTTTCTGCGCTGTATCAGTGAAAGAAATAAATCTTTAATTGTAAGAACACAGCAAAACCATGCAGGGTATGACCCAAGGTCCAGCCAGCTCCAGTGTTGGCTGTCACAGCAGCCAGCACAGATGGCTGTGAGGGAACATAACAGCCGAGCAGGTTGAGGTATTTCCCAAATCAATTCCCAAGCTCCTGTCCTCCTCATGCTTTTCCCAAGCCAAAACACATTGCCCTGTACACCCCCCTTGATGAGTTTCTCCTCCACAAACCCCAAATCACAGGTGGACTTTCAGCATCCACAGTTTTTAGCAGCAGCATTCCAGTCCATCATGCAAAAGAGCATCTGCTGCTCTTCCTGGTTTCATCCACTTTGGTTCCACTGCCAGAACAGACAAAGGAACAAGATGTCTCCACACCACTCCTGAATTTTACAGGCTTCAATCACCTGCCCCAAGATGCCACCGTGCCCTCCTCACCCATCCCAGTGCCCACATTGTGATCCCCATGCCAAAGCAGAAATCCTCCCAGAGAACCTCTGGCTGCAAACACAGTGACAATGTTTTTCATACTCCCCAGCCACTGTCCTGACACCCTGGCACATGTTGATGGCAATAGGGCCAAGCCAACCCAAACACACACACACTTGTGATGCTCACCCTGTGTGACATACACATGGCTTCACAGGCACACACCAGCAACATCCCATGTGCAGCTGGCATGGAGGAAAGCATAGACCTCCACATGCTTAAAATCTTCCCTATTTGAACGAGAAATCACACCAGCCACTGTGATTGCTCAGAAACCAGCAAAGAATCCTGAAAAATGGCCACATCCAGACACAGAGCAGCCACCCAGAGTCCAGCACCACCCAGATGGACAGGCGGCCGCTCACCCCACTGGCCATCTGTCATTGGCAGGGCTTTTTGTGCCTCTGGTGACCTGGAAGAGCAGCATGGCCAGCTCAGCATCACTGCCACGTGTTAGTAGAGGAGTGACACATCAAACATCACCCACAGCCACCCACCAGCCCTAGCTAACCACCACAAGTGGGACAGAGCCCATGTACCACTGACAGACCTGGGAACGAGGCGGTGACTCCTGTCAGCCCTGCTCCCTGTGCTCACCCACATGCCCATGCAGATCCCACATCCACTAATGTGTGAAGGGAGCCTTCTCTGCACATGATGCAACTGGAGAGAAACACATTCCTTTGGGAGCTGCAGGAAACCCTGACACACAAGGTGAAGCCACCACAACACAGAGCACAGCACAGACTCTTTCTGTCCCCTTGGGAGTTATAGTAGACAAAGCACCAGGACATCACCTTGACTTCAGAGTGACAGAAGCCAGAGAGGCCTGGACGTATTCCACACAGCCAAAGAGCTGAGGAAAACCAAATCTCAAAGGGTACAGCAGGATGGTGTCCAGAACACAGGCTGCAGGTGATTTGCCCACACATGGTTCCCAGAAGCCAAGCTTGACCAGTGTCATTCCACTGCCATGTCCAGACACCAGCACATCACATGGCCAAACGACACTCACGCCAAAACCAGGAGGCACCAGCCACGTGTCAGTGCTGGCCCCAGCAGTACAAGATACGCAGTCCCACCCCCTTGTCACCCACAACACCATATCACAGCAATGCTATGTGAGCAGCAGCAATGGCTCCCACGTCCCAACACCTTTCTTACCTTCTCTGACTTCACCTTTTTCAGCTGCCGGCACTCACTTTCTCCATCCTCCAGCTCCGACTTTACTCCCAAGGGATTGAGCGCAGCTCCCGTGTCAATAGCTATACTCCCAAGCTGCTCAGCAGCAGCAGGCTCTGTCCCCTGGCCCCCATCATACTGTCCCACCCTCACTGCCAGGGCCAGGGGCTGCAGCACGCTGGGCTCCTTCTCTGCCGCAGTCCCTGCACCCTCACTCCTTTCCTTCTTGCTTTTGGATGAGCCGCCCTCCTTCTCCTTCTTGGAGCCAGCCACACTGCGAGACGCCTTGGCTGACTTCTCCGAGCTCTTCGGGGTGACGGCAGGCACCAAACCCCCCGAGTTCGCACCATCCCCAGAGCGTCCTTGAACCTCCTTCTTGCCACCAGCTCCCTCACTGGGAGTGAACAGGGAGGACCCTGGGGTCGGCTTCCCACTGTCCTTACCAGTCTTGCTCCTTTTCGACTTTGATTTGCCCTCCTTGCCTTGCGGGCCTGGCACTGGGCTCACAAACTTGATGTTATCCGGTAGCGTTGCCACTGCGTTGGGTGCCGGGAGCCCCACCTCCTTGGAGCCCGACATTTCCAATTTCTGCTGATCCTTCTCCAAATCAGCGTCCAGGTCAATGATGAGATTCCCTACACCAATGTCCCACTCATCCCCACTGTCATACGTCTCAACCGGGTTCGCATCAATTCCTTTCCCTCCGGAAGCTCCGCTGCTCAAGGACATCTTAGAGTTAACGGCCCCTCACGATTCAAGGCTCTTCCCTGCCTCTACGCCCTGGGGGTCACCTACGTCCTTGGGGGGCTGCCAGTGGTCCGGGTCTGCCCAGGTGACGGCATCGTTGCTGGAAGGGAGAGAAAAGAGAACAGGGTTACACATGAAGAGCCACGGACAGGCACACCTGCAGGCAGGACAGATCTGGGCAGAGTGAAACCCCCAACCTCTCAAATCCCCCTCATAGCATCCTTCTGCCACCCCCTGGGCTGGGGCTGCTCCACAGCCGCCCCTGCAGCAGCGGCCATCTGGCACCGGTCCTCGATCAATACCAGCCCTGGCAGGTCACGGCTCTCAGCTCCAACAAGACATTACTCACACATTTCCCCGCTCACCATTTCCCTCTGAATTATCGAGCGCTGCCCCTGGGAGGGAGGATTGATTCCTCTCCTGCCAATGCCACCCAGAGGGAGGGCTCCTCTCCACGCCAGCCTCGCTGCGAGGGACAAGAGCTGCTCACCAGGGAAGTCAAGTGCCTTGGTGGGAAATAAATCCCAGGCTTCAGAGTGCCTGCGACACTTGGGATGTGTCTCAGCAATCACCAAAGGCCAAACTGCAGTGGGAAGCATAAGGGTTCCCATCCCAAGCCTCTGGGCAGAGCAACACAGTACCCAGATTTGGAGCATTTACCACCATCGCCTCCGGCCATGATAAGCTTCCAATGGGAAACCGAGATGTAACTGTATAAGTAGCCAGTCTTAACTGGGAAGAGGGGGCTCAGCCCTACCTGCCCACACCACAGCTGACCCCGGTGAGCCCAAAATATCTCCTCCCTACTTCCCAGCCTCGCCCCCAGGGAGAGAAACAAAAAAGACACCCACGCGCAACCTGACACAGCACCCGAGTCATGGCAATTACCCTGACGAGACATAATTAACACATGTAACAGCTTCTTCCCAGCACCGCCCAGCAAGGCCACCTGCTCTCCAGAATCCTTAAGAAATCCTTGACCACCCATTTGGATGAGCCTTCTCTCCAGCAGCACTGTCCTCCCCTTCCCTGCCAAGCTCCAGGCCTGCCTGCTCCTGGTGGTATTTACAAGCCACACTTCAAAAACAGGTGATTTAAAGAGAAATTAGAAGTAAAAAAAAAAAAAGAAAAAACAACCCAAAAAAACCCCACACCACACACACACAAATTTCTTCAAACCCCAGCAGGCAGGAGCCTGGAAAGCAGCTTCACGGTGCGTTTCCAGAGACGCAAACACTGTAAAAATGCCAGGGATTCTTTCATCAGCCAGGCTGCCGCAGCCAGACCATTTTCCATCTGCTCCCCACAGCATCCTCAGCTCTGTACAGCTAATAATCCGCTCTCTGACAGGTCATTACGGAGATTTTTAACCCCAGGAGCTGGGGGGCTTGCGTGCAAGCTGGAAATGAAAAGCACTGACCTCTCATTTCAGCGGCAAGGAAAGTGCCGAATCAGGAGATCACTTTGTGCACCGGAGTCGCTAACAGCTTCCCAAAGCCGACCTGCGTGTTTCTATGGCCGCCTCCTCCTCCTCCTCCTCTTCCTACTCCTGCTCCAGCACCTGCTCCCCAGTTCCAAGCTGGTGTCCAATTCCCACCAACCTGCCTCTCCAGAGCCTCTCTCCAAATCATCCCTGGGGCCAGCAACTGGCAGCGACCACCTCAGCCCTGCACAACACTCTTAGTGTCATGGATCCAAGGCAATTCCTTTGTGCAGGTGGGCAAAGCCAGTAACGAGCTGGATGAACCAGATTTTTGGCTGATACCAGTCCCTTCCCAGCCCTGAGCTGAGGCATGGAATCCAGGAACAATCCCAATGAACCAGTGGACCACTGATGACCACTAATGCTCAGGAAAAACCCACAGGAGCTGCAAGCAGAGATGAAGTTCAGTCTCCAAATCCAAGAGTTGCCAACCCAAAGTTGGAGCAGGCAAAGAGCCACGGTGAGCTCAGGTCAAAGGGAAAAGCAGACAAGGATCTGACCTTGCAGTGACAGGAAAATGAGACAATCTACAAGGTTGTACTGCAACATGTGTAGCATCACCTGCTCCATGCAACACCTGCACAATGCCAGCTTGGCCAGCTCTCCACGGAATTCACCTTGCTGCTCCAAACGTGCACATACACACGCACACACATCTCCATAAATGTTATTTATACATGTAGAATAAGGACAGCAGATGAGCGGGACTTGGGTTTGAAACTCTGCAAACAGCAGCAGCTTTTGCCAATTCCTACCACAACAAAAGGAAAAAGGAGCCCAGAAGTCCGCTGGGTCCCTGGCAATTGTAGAGCCAGGAACAATCAAAGGGTTAGAAAACAAGGGGAGCAAAAACCCTCACCCTACGGAGGAGGTGCCGAGGGAGCCCAGGCTCTGCTAAGGCAGACAGAAGGAACCACAAACAGGACGGACAGGAACATGCTGGATTGGCAAGAGCAGGGTAAAGGCACGTTGTGACGAGAGTGAGGCAGAGAACTCAAGACATGCCACCACAGGAAGAGGGACTGGGGCAGAGATCAGCCCTTTCCAGAGCACAGCAGGAGGCTGGGACCCTGGAACGTGATCTGGGGGGATCTCCTGAATATGCTCCGTTACATGTGGCTCTAAAGCATTTCTCACAGCTTTTTCCCTCCCCAAAACTCCCCTCCCAGTTCCCCATTTCCCTACTCCACTATTGCAGGCTCAGCCTCTGCAGCCAGAGGAGCATCTGGAGTCCCTCTCCCAAGCCAGACCCACAGAGACCCCAACCTGACACACCATCATCATTTTGGGTGCATAGGAGCCCCTGGCTACCACACCCCATGGCCTAGAGAAAGAGGTGCCTTTCCCACTGCCTCCTTTGCCCAAGCTGGAGAAGCACCGGGTGGTATCCAGATTCTTCCCACTCTCGTGTCGGGGGAGTAACGCTGCCACAAATCACAGCATCTCAGAAAACAGAGCGAGGAGATTGATTCAGCTGTAAACGTGTCCTTCCCCTTACCTCCTGCCATCGCAGGATTGATCCCCGCACAACATGAAAAGCATGTGCTCACTTGTTGGCCTGGAGACCTGCCAACAAAGCGTTTTAAGAGCAGTCCTGGAGCGCAGATCCTACAAGGAGACAGCTTTCTGCTTGGGAATGCTGCACACACACAGCACCAGACATGAATAATTCAGCTCCATTAGGTGCTGAGACCTCTATAATCCACATCTACGGGCTGGGACAGAGCCAAACCCTATTCAGACACAAACCTGAAAGTTCACTTTCAGGGCTGCACACACACCTAGAGACAGCTCTTCCACCAGAACAGCTCCACTTCTAAAAGGCAGCAAGGAAACCGCGCCAGCCCCTGTCTCTATGTGCTAAAAGCAGTGCAGGATGCTCAGAACCTGCCGAACCTGCGCCACTCCGGCTTTCTCTGCTGGTTACCAAAGGCCAGGAGACCAAAGCTGGGAAGGATTGACCGCCCAAGGGCGACAAGATGTAGGAGAAAGCTCTTCTCCTGGCAGCAGCCAGCCCACACATAGGGAGACTGTCTCATAGCCATGTGCTCCAGCCTGCAGCGCTCCAGGATTAGCCTCTGGTGGCTTCCAGACATGACTGACTGCAATTTTCACCCTGATTAACTTTCAGGAATGCCCACAAGAAGGAGCGGCAAAGAGGACAGGGAAGGGGGGAGAAAAATCTGCAGGATGCAGCATTTCCTCCAGTGAGCACAAGGCAGGGAGCAGAAGGTTTGCTGAGATGGTTGCTCTGGCCAGCAGCAACCTGGGAGAGCAGAGCCCTCTGCTCCCTCCCTAAAGAGCCAAAGGCAGTGGAATAGAAGGGATGCTGCCCCCACAGCTTGCCAAACCCCCAAAGGGCTCCCCACAAGCCCCCAGCTGAGGCAGCAGCACCAGGGGCTGCAGTGCCGAGGCCCTTCCTCCAGCTGCTGGCAGCCAGTCGGCTGCTCTCCCCATCCACTGCCTCTGCATGAGATCCCTTTTTGTTTCCTTTTACGACTAAAGAAACTCGGGGTGGTGGGGGAGACACACTGCCTTCCCCATGCTGCTGCACTCGCTCCCCACTCAGCTCCTACCACCGTGCCTGTAATCCCCCAGCTGGGCTTGTTTGGGTTGGATTTTTGTTAAGTAACTCCCATGTCTTTTCTGCAGATTTCTTTTTAAGATGTTCCCTTTCTCCCCGCCCCCTCTCTCTAGAGCTGGGGGAGAGAGGAGAGAAAAAAAGAGAGAGAGAAAAAAAGAAAATGTTGAACGTGAGCCAGCTGGCACGAACAAGAGGAGACGGAGAAATCTGCACAAAGGAGCTTCCTCACTCACTTGCTGCTTTCAGCTCAAGAAATCACGCAGGGGAGGAGGGTTCACTCTCCCCCAGACATCAGTCAGGCTGTAGCAGACAAAGGAGATTTGCCATGACACCCTCCAGAACTGCCACCCAACGGGGGCAGGATCCCTCCACCGCCTGCGCCCTGCGGGAGTCCGAGCTGTTGCAAAACACGCCAAGGCACAGAGCTTCAAAACAGGCTGTTCAATGTGGAATTAGGCAAGATTTTGAATGGAGGAGTTGTGCTCCCGCCTCTGCACTCACACAAGGCGCCCAGAGAACTTCAGTGGCTCTCAGGGCTGAGCGGGACAGTGTCAGCAAGCTGCCGGGAGGGAGAAGGCTGAACCCAATTTGAATAAAATGGAGCCACCCTTCTTTTTTTAATATGGAGGTGCACCCCACCAAGACTACATCTTCCAGCATGCACTGCAGCTACAGCACTGAGAGAGACACCGACTAACTTAGGCCAGGACTCCCAAGTTTCCAAAGGCTGAGCCTTGACACTGGAGATGAACCTGAGACAGGGCAGCACTCAGCGATGAGTCATTTTTTGGCATTCTTGAGAAAAGCTTGAAATTCTTCAGTACAGGCATGACAAAAGCAGGACATACAAGGTCACTGGAAGAAGCTGGAGATGGAGGAAAGTGGAGAGGTGAGCAGAGACTACTTTGGTGCAGGGCAGCCAGGCCAGCACCCTACCTGAAGCAAAACTCCAGAGACTTATCAGCCACAACACACACCTGCTCCCAAATACACATTCAGGCCTCAACTTCTACATTCATCATCAGGCAAAA